GGCGGCCCGGCCGTGCTGACAGGCGGCGGGGCGGCCCCCGCCGAGGCCCCGGGAGGTGACAGGCCCCGGGGCGGCCCTGCCCGCGGGTGGCAGCGGGGGTGACAGCCAGGTGGGACAGAGGAGGGGACGGTGCCGGACCCGGGGAGGTGACAGCGGGACCAGGCAGGGCAGAGGTGTCCGTGAGCGGGGATGGCCGGGATGGGGGCACAGCCCGGTCCCCGCCTCGGCACGGCGAGGTCTCCTTGTGGTGTGGTTCCTCCTCGCTATTCCCGGGAAGTTTCTTCCCGGAGCGTGGCTCCGGTTCAGCCTGGAGTTCCCGGTTGGGAGCGTGGCTCCTCCGGTTCTCCAGCAGAGACACCGGTGCCCTTTGGTGTCCATCATCCACACTGGCCTCGTCCCATCTCTGCCCGGCATCCCCTGATGGAGGGGTGACCGGGCTGGTTGGCTCAGGTTGCATCCGTAGCGATGGGACGGGGCAGGACTCCTGGCAGGAGGATTTGTGTCACCCACGGGTGACATTTCCCACTTGTAGCCCTAAGGACATCATGGGACCCAGAGGGCTGCAGCCATCCCTGGCTGTGTGCGTGCTCCTTGCAGATTCAACAAGGTCACGGACAGACATTTATACGTGGAATTAATTCCCCTTCTCCAGTTTGTGCCCAGTTTCCAAGCTGTGCCCAGCCCGCAGAGCCTGACGGCTCCGTGCGAGGGGTCTGTCACGGAGCCTTTGGGACAGTGAGTGGCCAGGACGTTGCTGTCCCTTGTCAAACTCAGCCGAGGAGCCTGTGGCCGTGCCGGCCGGGCAGAGCTGCCGGTGGCTTAGGAGCAATTGGTGGGTTCCCAGGTTTCACTCCCCCATTCCCACAGCCATGGGATCCCTCCTGGCACCGCTGGCTCAGCCTCCGCTCATCCCACGCTGGCTTCTGTGTCACCATGGGCTTTTTCACTTGGAGCTGGAGTGAGATGCTTCGAAAATGCTGCCACAAACTTCTAGCAAGGTACCCAGAGCTGAGCTGGAGGCTTCACCAGCAATGATGCTGCCAGCCCCAACCATCCCACACCACGTCCTTGCCCCGCTCACAGGCAGGACCTGCCGAGACCTTCTCCTCTCGTGGCCAGTTGCAAAAGGGTTTTTCACCAAAACACACCAAAAGCATGGAAGGGCGCGGGCTGTTGCCCAGTTGCAGCATGTGTTACTCAAAAACGAGTGACAAGTTTGGACGTTACAAGAAAGCATACAATGGGCTGATTTCTGCTCTCTGGTTCCAGGGCAATTCCTCTGGGATCCCTGGGGTTGTATCAGTGGCCAGGGAGCAGAGTTTGACTCTCACTAAGTGGTTTATGGGATTTTTAGTTTTCATTTACCCAAGTTCTGCTCTCTGGTTCCAGGGCAATTCCTCTGGGATCCCTGGGGTTGTATCAGTGGCCAGGGAGCAGAGTTTGACTCTCACTAAGTGGTTTATGGGATTTTTAGTTTTCATTTACCCAAGAAAATGAGAAGGGGAAAAAAATTCAAAGAAGTATTTGGTGTGGAAAAACAAAAGACATTCAAAACCTCCTCAGCTGGCCAGGAGGGATCCCTTTGAGGTGACAGATGTGTTAAGGGGAACAAGAAGTGTCCAGCTGCGGGAGCGGGGCTGAGCCAGGCACCTGGGATGTGGCAGTGGTTTCAGGAAGGGAGCACTGGGGGGTGATGCTTGGGACCATCCCGGCTCCCAAGGTTTGGTGTGCACTGCCATGGGGTGTTCAGGGGGAACCTTGGAGGTTCAGGAGGTGGGCACCTTGGCTGTCGATGAGGTTTGCCCTGTCTGTCACCCTTTGTGGGTCGTCCTCGAGCTGCCCAGTGAGGAGGACACGGAGATTTTGTGGTCTCTCACCCGTCCGATGGCAGCCCTGGTGTCTCGCTGTGTGGGGTGCAGGCGTGCCGATGGGTGCCGTTCAGCATGGGGGGCCACAGTGTGGGGTCTGTGCCTGGTCCAAGGGACGAAGCCACAGCTCAGTGGCATTTCAGCACTTTCCCAGGTTGTGTAAATGCATTGGCTGCCTGAGTTTCCCCTTGGTTTTCGCCCTGTTGTAAAGCACAGAGATCTTGTCATCTTCAGCTTTCAGTTCGCTGGGCTTTCGTCTTTTTTTCCCCCCTTTTTTCTTCGAGCAACTTGACTGAGGATCATTCAGAGGAGCAGAGGTGCCAGGAGGCAGTACGAGAAGGAAGGGGACTGGCATGTTCGTCCTCAGAGGATCGGGGACGGTAGCAATGCTCACGTGGGTGAGAGTGAAGCTGTGATTTGGAAAAGGGCCACAGGGACCCCGCTCTGTGCCTGCTCTGGAGACCAGCTGTCCCCGGGAATGAGCCACCAGCAGTCAGGTCACAGCTCCTGCCCAGGTCTCCCACCAAAAAAGCCCAAAGTAGCTGAATAAATGATCGCTGTGTTCAGCACCAAGTGCCAAAGAACCTGTTGCCAAGGCTGGAATTTCTCACTTGATCCGATTAACCTTTGTGTCTGTGCAAACAACCACATGTGTGTCACCAGCCGAACACATGCCGGCAGCTTCTGCCAGGTCTTCTTGGAGCATCGGGGCTGCGTGTGATGCACAGTGCCCGATCCCACATGGAAAGTCCCCAGGGTCACCTCAGAAAGGACTGCTGGACCCTCGTGTCGATAACATGGCCAGCGATCACAGGAGATGCTTCTCTGACCTCCACCATCCCTCTGGGCACAAGGACAGGCGGGATGAGTCTGGCAATGAGTAAAGCAATGCCATCGTCATCTCCTGGGAGGAACTGGGGGTGACGAGTCAAATCTGTGTTTTAAAAAACCCACGTGTGTGGAAGAGGAGCGTTGAGCAAAGGTGAAGAAGGCACCAAGGGGCACCTCCCTTAGTCACGATGTGGGTGCCTGGCTGAACATCAGCGTCACATCCCAACCAAGGTCTCAAGGCTGTGATGGTCCAAGGAGTCATCTCCCAAGGGCCTGATGCTCTCATTACGGAGGCTTGGAGGACTCCTCTCCCCAGGTGCCATCTTCCACAGCCCCTATCCTCAACTGAGTCCTTGCTTGTGCAGTCAGGAGGGGAGGAAGGTGCTTTGAAACCACCTGGGAGCAGAGCCAGCCACACCGTGGGCTTCATCCTGGCACCACCAAAGCGGAGGGGTGTCCTGCTGCCCGCTTCCGTCAGGAGCAAGATTGGGCCTTCTGCGATAATTCCTGATGTTCATTATTTATAGAGAAGCCAAATTGAATTATTAATACGGAAAATTCAGATAACATTAACAATTCTCAGTTTATAACAGTTTCCCATTAATAAGGAAAATTGGAAATTTATCACTACATCTGTTCATTAAAACTCACTATTTTTTTCCTTTCTTTTGGTGTCTTAAATGAAAGCAGAGAAATAAACGAAGGGGAAAAGCCATTTATTCGCTACTTCTCTGGGCAAAGTCAGCCCATAATTTTTAATAAAGTCTTTGCCGTTATACGCGGAGGGGAAAGCAGCCTATAATGAAAGCAGCTTTTCAGCCATGTCTGTGGCGTTGCTCGACCGTGGAACAAATCCTCGGAAACACATCCCGTTTCTTCTCTTTGTGGGAACCTTTAAGCTGCAGGATAGTTTTCTCATTTCCCTCCCTCCCCAGCAGCTCTCCTTGCTTTCAGCATGTGTTGCTCCCGGCTCCGAGGAGTGAATTTTAACGCCTCCCCTGCTTCTTTCAGAGATGGCGGATTCCTATGCCTGTAAAGGTGGAAGGAAAACTGCAGGCTCTAACAAACCCGCTGCCAGCAAAGAAAGCAGGACGGAGACGAGGATAAACCCGCCGGCAGAGCTGCCCAAGCTCGGTAAGGAACTGGTTTTTCATTTCCTTGGAGGTGGATGGGGCAGAGGGGACGAGCCCAGCGGCAGGGGTTGGGGAGGGGGGGGG